CCTAGGTCCTTTTTCTTCTTTGCATATTCCTTCGCATTTCATGAAGAGCGTCTCGATGCTGCCGCCTTTTGCTATCGCCATCTCAAGTTCTTATCTTGCGTTGTCATGGCAACCTTTTAAAAGAGCGTTATACATACTTCGCCGACATTCGTCATGCTTGGACTCTCTATCTAGTGTGCGTATTTAGTGCACGCGGTCTGTAGGTTGCGTGCCAAGGAGGTATTGTCTTGCTCTTCTAGTGCCACTGAGATCCATTTAGCGAACACCTCCACTGAAGCTTGTTTTTACATCAGGGGAGAGCACTGGAACCGTGTAAATTCATACTTACCTGGCACAGGGGACGCCGTGATCAACAAGGCGGCTCCCTCAGGATGAGGCCTCTCCACTGCACTCCGTTGGGGCTGAGGCTTGCGATTTCCCCAAACGTGGGAAACTCGGGTGCACAATTTATGGTAGAGGGGGTTTGCGTTCGCGCAGCCCCTGCTCTATAATCAATCAAAGGAAGGAGAACGTTTTCGGGTCGTTTTCTTTGTTTCCGATGTCCTGTATTTACAAGAATGATAGTTGTACTGATCATGAGCTAGTGAAAAAGTCGGTATGAACTCTAAAACCAGAAAAATAATAATATGTAGCGCAAAATAAAGAGAAGGTTGTTTTCTAGTGTCACGCTTTTCTTATATTTATACTGTATGTTACTATGTATCTGAACAGCTTGTCTTTGATATGATGACAAAGAAGCGTTTACTTGTTTGTAGTACACAGAGAGTAGGAAAATACTGCTATTTTACTACTCCCTGCTTGTACATGATTCGTATCGTATTCATTATAATTGTAGTTGGAGGGATGGGGAGCATTGCACAGATTTCTTTCTACAATTCTGCCCGAAACCTTTTGCTTGTGGAATATGAACCTGCAAAGGTCTGCCCCCGGCAGCACCTTTGTCCACGGATATACATGCAATCCAGTTCATGATAATATCTACAATGAATGTATCACCAGGCTGCCTAGCATGCTCAATGTCCAGTGGGCAGAGCGAGCAATGCAATAACAGACACACATCAACAGTACTACAACATCTTTCCTTGCAGCAATATTGCTATTTATTAGGGAGGTTTCGCTCTACGTAATTACGTATGAAAATCCGTATGTCGTGCGCGCCGGGGAGCGAGGGCAACTTTCTTACGTAAATCTCTCTACGGATTTCCGTAGGAAAAGCTCTTTCCTACGTTGGGTCCTCCGTAGGACTTTTTGAAATATTTTTCGCATTTTCCGCATTTGTCCATGGCAACATTCAAGCCGTGCGAAACACAAGGTACACACACCCAGGGAATTTTCTAGAACCGCCCCAACCGGTTTTCGACCGGTTGAAATTGTTGGCGACCGGTTGAAAAGTTACAAATCAGTTCCAACCGCCCGTACTTTTCTGTGGGTGAATGGAGCTGTGAATGGTCAAACGCTTTTTTTCTGGACGGATACTTCCAGCGAAGCCGTGTGGGCTGGTACTAGGGTCACGAGTTTGTACGGCTTATATCTTTGCTACACTCCAGCACCAAGAAATCTGTTAAATTGCTGTCGAGTGCCATATTTGGGTTGTATTTTGAAAAAAATTTCCGGGGGGACCCCCGGACCCCCCACTCTTCATTGGACCGTAACCGGTTGGAAATTCGTCCTAGAATATACCCTGACACCGTACACCACGTGCAAAATAAGATGGAAACGCGGTTTCGGTTCATGGTGCATGCGGTGGGCGCATGCAGCCTACGCGTCTCCAAAGCAACAACGCATGTTTAGCAGTCGTGGAGAAATCACGTCGGGTGCACAATTTATGGTAGAGGGGGTTTGCGTTCGCGCAGCCCCTGCTCTATGATCAATCAAAGGAAGGAGAACGTTTTCGGGTCGTTTTCTTTGTTTCCGATGTCCTGTATTTACAAGAATGATAGTTGTACTGATCATGAGCTAGTGAAAAAGTCGGTATGAACTCTAAAACCAGAAAAATAATAATATGTAGCGCAAAATAAAGAGAAGGTTGTTTTCTAGTGTCACGCTTTTCTTAAAACGTGGGAAACTCGGGTGCACAATTTATGGTAGAGGGGGTTTGCGTTCGCGCAGCCCCTGCTCTATAATCAATCAAAGAAAGGAAATGATTTGTAGTCTCTGATATGGATGCTTCTTTCTGTGGAATTAGCGCACTCTGTATCGCACTCATTGTCAGATTTCTATACGTGTACCATTTTTTTCTTTTCCTTGCTGGATAGTGCAGCAAAGGTATCATCAAGAGTATAATATATAAGCTCCCAAGAGTGTGCAACTCGATGCCCTGTCTATGGGGTTCGCCGCCACCAAAAACTCACATCACGTGGTGTAGTGTCCCAGTTTTATGTTTCTGGCCCGACTTAGCGAGCAGCGGAGTAATACAAAAGCACTTCGCAACTCGTCAGCATAATCATGGCAGATTTTCGAATTTCGCGCACGCTGACCTTAGTTGTACGTAGTACAAAACGTACCTGAGACACTTGATGTGAGTTTTCGCCGTCGGAGACCCGATATGCAGAGTTACACACTCTTGAGAGCTTATTTACTCTTGGTATCGTTGATCTCTACCCTTTCCCAAAGAATCGTGCACTGTGCTTTAACCTGTTGCTCCTCGGCTATTGACATTCTGATTGCGACCTGGTCAGACTGTAGCAAGCACGAAATAATCCTGTGATTGTAATCCGAATCTCCATAGTAACTAGACACCAGAGATGTACACTATAAACAAGGCCACTGGCCAAACGGGGCCGGCACTGCTCAATTCAGATTGTTTACCGCGTTCTCTATTCATACAGCATTGCTAAACCTTCTCTATTCATACAGCATTGCTAAACCTTCGCGTATGTAGACTAGGATGAAGAGCCAAGGATTGAGTTATAAGAAGAAAAAAGGACCGAGGAACTACAATGGCAGCTAGTTGTAGAACGTCAGTACCGTTGATCAGTGCCGTGCAATGTTATCGCAAGACCTACAGTTGTAAAGGAACTGGTGGTGTTAGTGGACATTATAGCGTAACTTGTAGACTTTTGTTGTAGTTCCTTGGTCCTAGGTCCTTTTTCTTCTTTGCATATTCCTTCGCATTTCATGAAGAGCGTCTCGATGCTGCCGCCTTTTGCTATCGCCATCTCAAGTTCTTATCTTGCGTTGTCATGGCAACTCTTTAAAAGAGCGTTATACATACTTCGCCGACATTCGTCATGCTTGGATCATCTATCTAGTATCTAGTATGCTTATTTAGTGCATGCGGTGTGTAGGTTGCGTGCCAAGGAGGTATTGTCTTGCTCTTCTAGTGCCACGGAGGTCCATTTAGCAAACACCTCCACTGAAGCTTGTTTTTACATCAGAGGAGAGTACTGGAACCGTGTAACTTCATACTTACCTGGCACAGGGGACGCCGTGATCAACAAGGCGGCTCCCTCAGGATGAGGCCTCTCCATTGCACTCCGTTGGGGCTGAGGCTTGCGATTTCCCCAAACGTGGGAAACTCGGGTGCACAATTTATGGTAGAGGGGGTTTGCGTTCGCGCAGCCCCTGCTCTATGATCAATCAAAGGAAGGAGAAAGTTTTCGGGTTGTTTTCTTTTTTTTCTTTTCGATGTCCTGTATTTACAAGATAGTTAGTTGTACTGATCATGAGCTAGTGAAAAAGTTGGTATGAACTCTAAAACCAGAAGAAGAAAAAAATATGTAGCGCAAAATAAAGAGAAGGTTGTTTTCTAGTGTCACGCTTTTCTTATATTTGGGGTGCGTTTGGTTGGTACGATCTAGAACAGGATCGAACAGCTGGTGCACATGGAGCAGCCTCATGCCAACCAAACGCTACTCCAGAAACAGAGCACATTTTTGTGGAAAAATGTGCCAAACTTGGTGCATTCTTCATAATGTGTATGGTTCACCATGGTTACTTTGTACGGTACAACGAGTCCAACCCAAAAGCGTATGCACGTGATCATTTGGGACCAAAATCGATGTTCCCGCCAGGTTTCACTGTGAAAAAGTGAAACTGCTCGGTCTGCTCCGGCCTCGAGGCCGGAGCAAGCAGAACATGTTCTGGCCGACCCAGAACAGGTGCAGTCCCAACCAAACGCGCTGTTCTGGTGAATCCTGTTCTAGTTCGTACCAACCAAACGCGCCCTTATACTGTATGTTACTATGTATCTGAACAGCTTGTCTTTAATATGATGTCAAAGAAGCGTTTACTTGTTTGTAGTACACAGAGAGTAGGAAAATACCGGTATTTTACTACTCCCTGCTTGTACATGATTCGTATCGTATTCATTATAATTGTAGTTGGAGGGATGGGGAGCATTGCACAGATTTCTTTCTACAATTCTGCCCGAAACCTTTTGCTTGTGGAATATGAACCTGCAAAGGTCTGCCCCCGGCAGCACCTTTGTCCACGGATCTATACATGCAATCCAGTTCATGATATATACAATGTACCACCAGGCTGCCTTGCATGCTCAATGTCCAGTGGGCAGAGCCAGCAATGCAATAACAGACACACATCAACAGTACTGCAACATCTTTCCTTGCAGCGATATTGCTATTAATTATTGTCGTGTGCCTTCGCGTATGTGTATTTTCGAATGTAAGTTGCTATGTAAAATCTTGTAGGACGCATCACTCAGCTGCATAAGTAGAAATTGGCTTGTGAGCAACACTGGATCACGCTCAATCACACTCAAGCACACAGTGATTGAGTGCTCAGTGATTGAGTGTGATTGAGTGTGAGCACTCAATCACTGTGTGCTTGAGTGTGATGGAGTGTGAGCACTCAATCACACTCAATCACACTTTCTCACACTCAATCCCTGCTTTTGTGAAAAGCAGTGATTGAGTGTGAGCCAGCGTTGCTCACACGCCAATTTTTAAGTTGCTATGGCTTCAACATAATTATTGCATGCCGGTAGTGTTTGTTCGAATCGTTCACCGTGCTGTTTTTGTCTCTCCCACGTCTGTACTCAGACCCAGCTACTGTCGCGGCATCGTTCCCGTGCGAGCTGATCTGAACGCTCACGACGACTTGGACTGCCTAGATGCCAAGGACACTGTGCATGGGGACCGGTGAGTGGTCATTTGTGTATGTTTAGTTTGTCCTGATATAAATTCCTGTAATTTCACAAATTGCATGTTGCCGGTGTGATGAGGTCGGCCAGAGAGCGCACGTGGTGAAGGTGGAATTTCTTTATTCGCAAATGCACGTCCCTGCTTGTACACACACGTGTGTGCGTGTATGTATATGTGTGTGCATTGCAGTGTTTATTTCCGTTCGGCCACGTCGCTACCGCTGCTTCCTGCTGAGATGGAGATGGATAGCGAGGATGAGGAAACGCCGGCATGGCTCATAGACAAGACGGAAATGGTGAGACGATTTTCAAATTCGCATTATCTTCAAACGTGAATTTTGTACATGTGTGCGTGAGACTATTTTCAAATTTGCGAGCGTGTCTGAATACGTGTGCGTATGTGTGTTTTTGGTTTGTTTGAAGTTTTATAGTGTGCATGCGTGCATGCATGTGGGTTAAAGGGGAAGTTAAGGCAAAAATCAAAATTTCACCAGTTGTAGTCTTCGGGGTGCTGAGTCGAATGGTCTTGGTCCGAGAAAGCTGAGACGCTCCCTTCCTACTTGAATCCCAATCGAACTCGCGCACTTCCACCGAAACTGGGTGACTGCGCCCTACGAGATGGAGATTTGTATGCAAAATGTCACTAAAAGCGCCATCTCGTTCTTATAAAAGCACGGATGACC